GCAGTGTGTTGTCGGCCGCTTGGGGAGTTGTTTTGGGGAAGCCGTACGACGTTTTAGAGCAGTTTGTGCTGGGAGGTTTTCGATGCTTTTAAAATCAGTCAGGTTGTTTCTTGCGGTGGATGATGTAGTTTTGATGTCTTTTTCGGATTTTCCAGACCCGCCCTGTTTGGAAGAAGAGTCTGAGGCGACGGAGCAACAGTGGGTCACGCGCATGGGCTGTTTCGCGCTGCTGGAAATCATGTATGCCGCTCTATCGAAGGAGCACGTGCATTCGGCCACCTCGCCGCTGGTGGTGTCATTTACCGGATCAACAGGTATGCAAAGTCGTCAAACTCGAAGTTATGCAACGGGATGCCGATGTAACTGCAAGGATGTCAACTTGATATTTGGGTCATATGGCCAGCTTGCTGATTACTTCGCCTGCGTCACCTGACACTCGACTTGGCGATGAGCTAGGGCGGAACGTCATGCTGTGCGCTGCTCCAAGACGGCCGCAGCCCGCACCGTTCAGTCGTGTTGTGCCGGCAGCGCCGCGTGGTAACGAGCTGACCAAGGCGCTGCTGGATGCCGGCTCAGCGGCGTTCCGTGTGCCGCCGCCGCGCCGTCCGGAGCCGCCGGGCCTGGCCGCTGCGCGCCGCCGCTGCCTCTGCGCCACCTACAACGCGATGGCGGCCGCCGTCTGCGCCACACAGACGGCGGCCAAGTTTTACAACGGTGAGTGGGACGGCGTCTGTGACGGCGGCTGTGCGGAGTCCAGAGCCGCCGCGGCCGGGGGCCTGCTGTCTTTACAGTTGCACAGCAGCGATCGCACTTGCGAGTCGGTGGGGGGGGGGGGGGGGGGGGGGCGGGGCTGGCGGATTGATGAGGTCGTTGGCCTTGAGCGGCTACCTGTGCAGCCGGCACCGGGTGCTGTTGTAGTCCTGCGTGGTGGAGGTGCAAACGTGCGAGTGATACCTCCTCGCCCCGCGTGCCAGTCGGGCTGTCTGTGTGCATGTGTGGGCGTGGGTTGTGAGTGTGAGTGTGAGTGTGAGTGTGGGTGTGGGTGTGAGTGTGGTGTGGGTGTGAGTGTGGGTGTGAGTGTGGGTGTGGGTGTGAGTGAGTGTGAGTGTGAGTGTGTGGGGTGTGGGTGTGGGTGTGGGTGTGTGTGTGGGTGTGGGTGTGGGTGTGCGTGTGCGTGCGTGCGTGCGTGCGTGCGTGCGTGCGTGCGTGCGTGCGTGCGTGCGTGCGTGCATACTGACCGGCCGGCGGCCGTCGCAGCGTTCCTTTTCACCGAGGACGCGGCCAAGCACCAGCTGATCTGGCAGCGGCTGGTGGACCCGGGCCGGCGTTACCAGCTCTCGCTGGACCGGCACGCTGTGCGGCAGTTGGAGGTGTCTATCCGTCGGAAGAACACCCCGGACCTGGACGAGGTGGCGCCGGCCTCCGCACAGGTCAGTCGCGGACTTCGCTGGTCAGCCTTGCTGGCGACCAGTGCTGACAGTCGGCTGGTCAGTGTTCACTCAGGCCAGTGCGGCTGGTCGCGCTTCATAGTCGTCTTCTGCTGTGGGCGCAGCGCTGCCGCGAGGGGCCTGACTGGCCGTCGCTGGCGTTGCGTTTCAGACCTCTGTGCTGCAGTTTCTGTCCGGCAGCAGTCTCTCCAGCCAGCTGACGCGCTACGACTTCAGCGCCGCCGTCGACCTCTCCAGCCAGGAGCTGGAGGCAGCGCCTGCCCAGGCAGAGGTCAGGCTGGTCATCACGCGGGCTGGGCCAGCAGTCGGACACGCGCCGAGGGAACGCAGGCCTCGCCTGGGGCATGTTATGTACCTCGGGTGGCCGTGTACGTCCTGCGAAAGAGTAGGGGGCTGGCTGCACGCGCGCTGGTCGCCGCGAATGAGCGTTACATCGGCAGTATGGTCGCTAACCGCGCCACCGTGCAGTCGGGTATATTTGTAGGACCGCGCCGGGCGCACGAGGCACTTAGAAAACCTACCCCATTGGCTAGTAACCGCTGGGAAGAAACTGCCACTTGTAAAACGACTAGGGGAAACGAATATTTTACAAAGCACCAGCTCGCCGACCAATGGCGTGCAAGCTGCAGACCGCCTGTTGCCCCAGAGGCCATGTCACCCTGACCTGTCTGCTGCGGCGGAGGCCATGCTAACAGCCGCTGTCTGCGGCAGCGGCGGCGACGGGTGGCGGCGCCGGTGAGCTCGATCGAGCTCGAGCTGGACGAGCTGAACGAGCACGAGTGCATGGCCTGCCTCTCGGCGCTCGTCCGCCACATGGTGGAATCGATCGACCCACCGCCCACCATCGGCGTGGTCAGTGAGGGGGGGGGGGCGTACGTTCGCCCACCGGGCCCGGGCTCCGGCTCTTCCTTCGTTGTGAAGATACGTGGAGGGCTGTTTATAAGGTCCGCTGCCATTTCAGTTGTGAAGGGATGTCACAACCTTATGTTAGTAGCCGTCTTGTTGGCCGTTGCCGGCACCAGGTCGTCAAATGTGTAAGTATGTACAATGTTTTATATCTTCAGTGCCGGTCTGCGGTCCCCTGTGGCGTGTGCACTGCAGTCACTCGTCGACCTGCATTGACAGTCTGCACTGTCTCATGTAATGTGTGTGTGCCGTCCCTGTCGGCCTGCAGCCCCGATTTGTAGTCTCCTCTTCTGTGCCATCCTTGTCAGGCTGCAGTCCCCCACCTGCAGTTTCCTCTTCTTTGTCGTCCGTGACGGACTGCAGTCGCGATCTGCGGTTTCCTCTTTGTCGTCCGTGTCGGGCTGCAGTCGCGATCTGCTGTTTGCTCTTCTTTGTCGTCCGTGTCGGACTGCAGTCGCGATCTGCAGTCTCCTCTTCTTTGTCGTCCGTGTCGGGCTGCAGTCGCGATCTGCTGTTTCCTCTTGTTTGTCGTCCGTGTCGAACTGCAGTCGCGATCTGCTGTTTGCTCTTCTTTGTCGTCCGTGTCGGGCTGCAGTCGCGACCTGCGGTCTCCCCGCCGTCTGCCGCAGCCGGCCGAGCCCGCTCGCTGGGTCGTGTGCATCCGAGATCGCCTGGCCTCGGCCAACACGCCGGACAACGTGGTGCTGTTCCTGGTGAGGCTCGTCACCAACAACGAGCCGGCCTTCCGGCCCTACGCCGCCTGGCTGCTGACGACACTGGCGCGACTGGTGGCCGACGAGCGGCTGGGCGCCGAGCTCAATGCCCTCATCATGGACCTGGTGAGTCGGAGCAGAGCCTGGCCAAATGCGGCAGCTGGCGGACGGCGCCGGGCGGCAGCGCTTGGAGGACATAGAAAACATCGTTTGGAGACTGATTTAACCGCGCAGTGGCAGGTGTACATGACCCGGAGGACTTCCCTGCAACCGAGCGGAGGTGTTGAGGATTTTGACAACTAAGGGGCCGGTTGGTTTTGCGACTGAAGGTTAAGAAGCTACTTGCTGTTGACGTTTCCGTGGACGATCAAAGGTTGAACTGGTCGCGTATGTCTGAGTGTGTGCTCATGTATTGCTTAGGCTTATTTTTACTCCTGCAGCTATTAGTTGACGCTTGTTGCTGACTGCTTCAGTTAAGATGTTCTTCAGTACTGCGTGCGGCTTACGTCGTATTTCCTTCCAAATGGCTAGGTCCACATGTAGACTTGTGGTCCGGACCATAAATGGCTAGGCCCACATGTAGACTTGTATTCCAGACCATGAATGGCTAGGTCCACATGTAGACTTGTGGTCCGGACCATAAATGGCTAGGTCCACATGTAGACTTGTGGTCCGGACCATAGTCAGCATTTCCATTGATCATTTGCGGGCTTGAAAACCGCATCACAGCATCCATGGCGTAACGATGAGGTGCGTCGGCGGCGGTCCTGCTCGGAGAGAGCCGGTCACGAGGCGCCCGTAACGCGCCGTGTGTGCCACTGCTCCCCTTTGATACCGGTGTGTGCCGCTGCTCCCCTCTGATACCGGTGTGTGCCGGTGCTCCCCTCTGATACCGGTGTGTGCCGGTGCTCCCCTCTGATACCGGTGTGTGCCGCTGCTCCCCTCTGATACCGGTGTGTACCGGTGCTCCCCTCTGATACCGGTGTGTGCCCCTGCTCCCCTTTGATACCGGTGTGTGCCACTGCTCCCCTTTGATACCAGTGTGTGCCGCTGCTCCCCTTTGATACCGGTGTGTGCCGGTGCTCCCCTCTGATACCGGTGTGTGCCGCTGCTCCCCTCTGATACCGGTGTGTGCCGCTGCTCCCCTCTGATACCGGTGTGTGCCGCTGCTCCCCTCTGATGCCGGCGTGTACCGGTGCTCCCCTCTGAAACCGGTGTGTGATGGTTTTCTCCCTGATGCCGTGTGTGATGGTACTTCCCTCCCCCTGCTGTGGTGTGTGCCGGTGCTCTCCTCACCCCCCCCCCCCTGTGCCGTGCGTGCCGGTGCTCCCCTCTGACGCCGATGTGCCGGCGCTCCCCTCTGACCCCGGTGTGACGGCGGCCGCAGCTGTTCGTGCTGGCGGAGTGGGCGCTGGCCGACATTGTGCCCGAGGACACGGAGGAGGCACGAGCGGCGGCCAGCGCCATGCTTGAGCGCGTGGTGCGGCTGACCCCCAACCAGCATAGGAGCGTCGTCAACAGCATGACGCATCTCTTCAGGTACCTGCCGCACTGCGGCGCACATGCTCTTGTTACTTCGCTTTTCTGATTGCGGGCGATCATTCCCACCATAATCATGAAAATTGTTGCGGAACAAGTTGACAAGCAAACTAAGTGCTGCGGAACACATCCATTTAGCGCAATTTGTACTATTATCACTGGGGTTCCCTCAACGTACGTATCGTCATTGGTGCAAATGGTTCCATCCTCCCGGTCACGTGGCCTGTCGTCTCCGGCGCTCGCCGTACCGCCGGCGCCTCTCCGTCGGTAACGGCGCCCGCCGCTCGGCAGCCGGCTGCTGCAGGGCTGGGGCGAGCGCGCCGCCTTCCCCGGCGCTGCCGTGCACCAGCTGCTGACGGGCGGCGACCGACTGCTGCACGCCCAGCGGGCGGCGGTCAGCGCGCTGGGCGTGGCGCTGCTGCACGGCCGGCCGCTGGCCCTCACCGTCGACCAGCACCGCCGGTACGACTGACGCCGGCCGGGCGCTCCCGGGCGCTCCCGGCGTCGCCGACGGGACGGCCGGTGTTTGGAAAAGAAGGATAACCCCACCGCGCAGGTCGCTGGTGACTTTCTGTTGGCTGAACGAGTCTGGCCGTCAGGTGTTCAGCAAGGCGCGTGGATAGACTGTTTGACGCCGTATTTTCGTATCAGCTTGACGCAACAGTTGTGAGACTGGCCGTGCTGCTGCCGCTTCTCGGTCGGAGCGAGGCGGATGGAACAGAGGTGACGCTGTGCTTCAGGGTCCTGAAGGAGCTGCTGGCTCTGCTGAAGAGCGGCACCTCGGAGGTGTATAAGCCGGCCAGCCAGGTTGTCGGCCTTATGCTCGCAGAGGCGCTGAACAACGAGGTAAGCGAAACATCAGAGTTGACAAGCTGGGTCCAGGCTAATCGCGAGACACCATACTACAGCCTGGTAAGCTAAGCAAAACCAATCGGTGGGACATTCCGCGATCTCAGTGTGTGATAATGCCGCTTTCATCCGGTTCATTTGCCTTATGATCAAGTTTATTTCCGTTGCGGGTCATCTGGCATTGTCCAGTTTCGAGCGTTGTTCTGGCCAGCGGGAAAGCGCATAATAGCCGCTCTCGGCTTGCCCTTCCTTTTAATCTGAGACAGATACAGAGCGCTGGCGCTCTTGGATGGTAACGGGCAGCCGGTCTTTTGACGTTCGTCGGTGTCTGACTGCGTCCGTGTCTCCGCACGACGTCCCAGGTGGACGAGCATCGACAGGAGGCGTTGCTGGCCCCAGCGCAGGAGACGCTGGACAAGCTGGCGCGCGACGACCGCGTCCGCTGGGTCATCTGCCTGGCGGGCCTGTCGCCACACTGTCGGCCGCTGGCGCTCAGGTGAGCCCGCCGCCGGCCGCGCGCCAGGCGCCGTGGCGTGGCTCAAAATGACCATTGCAGTCAGCGCGCCCTTGCACACCGATAAACAACAAGCAAACAACGTAGGGCGGGAGGTTGGGAGGCGGGACGCCGTACGTGGTTAAACTGCGGCGGTGTCGGGACACGCTGGCCTGGTACGCTTCACACGCGTCGTTATTGGGTTCGGCCTGCGGTGGCTGGGAGTGGCCGTGGACGGCGGGCGGGTCGCGGGGTGGTGGCCTGCCCCCCCCCCCCCCTCTCCCCCTCTCCCTCTGGTCACCCACCGGTCCCGCTTGTCATGTGTTCTGCGTTGCAAACGGTGGGTTGGAGAAGTCTCGGGGTCCTGTACACCAGACGGGGGTACGCTCTCCGGGCTGCGCGCTGGGCTGAGTGCCTCGCCGGCCGTGCACCAGAGGGAGGCCTCTCGGGTGCGTGCCGCAGCGCCGCCGGCTGTCGTCCGCCCCGCCTGACAGCGGCTCTGGCCTCCCGCGGCAGCCAACGCAGCCGTCTGGTGTACGCGCTGCCAGGCCTGTACGGCGAACAGAAGGCGACCGGCCTCCAGGTGCTGCTCGACGTCATCGACGACACAGAGGACGTGTTCGGCGTGCTGCACAAGCGGATAGAGCTGGAGAAGCTGGCCGAGAGCAGGTACGTCCGGCAGCGCGGAGCCTTTGGATGGACCAGGCGTGGGCGTGCGCGTGGGACGCCCTGATGCAAGCGGAATGCTGTTTGTATGACTAGCGCAGAATGAGGTGTGCTTTCTGCATGAGGCGTGTCGGCAAAAATGCATGCGGTGTTGACACATGCTGTGCTTTGGGGGTAATAAGCTTTGCCTCCTAAAAAGTATCGTTCGAGGACCCTGTGTTGGTACCTGCGGCGATTGCTCGTTTTGCGTTGCGTTATCGCGTGAAATGTTGATGACGCTGGTGTGCACTGTGTTGACTGGTCTGTCGCGCTTCTGCCGTTACAGAGACACTGCTGTGCAGTTTTGGTCGCTGAAGATCCTGGTTCGTGTCGAGCCCAGGCTCTCGGCTCAAGAGTGGTGTGTCTTCCTGCCATCTCTCCGCAGTGCCGTCAGCGTTCGAGACTCCAAGAGCCGCAAGGTGGCCGCAGAGCTGTGCATTGCACTCCGACAGCGGTTCAGGTACCTGCCATACGGGATTGTGTCACGAGATGCGTGTTAATTTCTAGCTGCTTGAAGGCCATCCAACTAAGCAAAGACTGGGGTCTCCCTGACAGAGCAGCCCCATGAATGTCGACAGACTACCTGCTACGTGGTTTCTGAACGCGTTCGTTGGGTACGATCGCGCATCGTCAGCATAAGGCACCGGAAACCAACAGCGAAAGCGTGCTTTAAGCCGTGCGATGCCAGTGTTCAGTCAGCGCACCACCCCGGCATCCCGCATCCGTTCACCACGGGTCTCCCTCACGCCGCAGAGTCGGCGTCCTTGCCGGCGCGTTCGGCCGGCGTGCGCCAGTGTTTAGCCGTGCGATGCCAGTGTTCAGTCAGCGCACCACCCCGGCATCCCGCATCCGTTCACCACGGGTCTCCCTCACGCCGCAGAGTCGGCGTCCTTGCCGGCGCGTTCGGCCGGCGTGCGCCAGTGTCCTCATACGGGGGACTCACGGCCGTGCCTGAGCCGCCAGCCGGTGACGGCGCGTGAGCCGGTGTGACGGCGTGTGAGTCGGTGTCACGGCGTGTGACGGGGTGTGACGGCGTGTGAGCCAGATGACGGCGTGTGAGCCGGTTGATGGCGTGTAAGCCAGATGATGGCGTGTTTGCCCGGTGACGGCGTGTGAGCCGGGATGACGGCGTGTGAGCCGGGTTGACGGCGTGTGAGCCAGATGACGGCGTGTTTGCCCGGTGACGGCGTGTGAGCCGGTGTGACGGCGTGTGGGCCGGTGTGACGGTGCCGCCAGGTCGGACAGCTCGGAGCCGGGCCGCGCCGTGGTCGAGTTCGTCACCGATGCGCTGCTTGAGCTGCTCACAGACCCGGACCCAGTGATCCGACAGACGGCTGCCAACCACTGGTCGGACGGCGTCGACCTGGAGGTGAGTAGCCGGCGCCGCGGCAGAGGCCGGCTGGGAGCGGGACTGCACCGCCGGTGGGGAGGCCCGGGGGACTGACGGTGGGATGTGGGAGTGACAGGCGGACGTCAGGCTGATGGCTGACGGAGAGACTGCGTGCCAGGTTAGTTCGCTAAAGCGAGTGATTTTTGAGGTGTCGAGAACCGGGGGGAGGGGGAGCGGCTGCTGCGTCCACCGCGCAGTCAGTTGAATGAAGCTGCTAAAGAGACGGCGAGGCGGAGGAGGAGGAGGCAGTCGTCAGGCGGCATGCTCGTGGTAAACAAGGATGGACGACACACCTGGTGAGGATATTCGATGAACAGACTGAGACGGGACGTGGCTGCTCGGCAGACGTGCAGAAGCGGATAGGGGCGCTGTGGTATACAGCTTAGCAGTAGTATTTTTGGTCAGGTCGGCGGGTCAAGTTCTTGGTCTTACGCGACTTCCGTGATTCTTCTTCCGTGACTCTTCCGGACAGAATACGACACCTGGTCAACCGTGACCTGTGCGTCCGCTGTTCGGCCGTTCCCGGCGGGCTACGTGACCCAGTCGTCTGCGACCCATGCGTTCTCTGTTCGGTCGTCACTGACAGAACGCAGCGCCCAGCCGTCTGTGGACTGTGTGATCTCTTTGGCAGGACACAACGTCCAACCGTCTGTGACTTTTGCGCCGCAGAACATGACTGATGGCCGTCTGTGACCTCTGTGACCTCTTCACTGCAAGACCCGACTCTGGCCGTGACCTTTGTGGCATCCATGCCGCAAGACACTGCGCCCGGTCGGCCGTGATCTCTGTGGCCTCCATGCCGCAAGACACTGCGCATGGTCGGCTGTGACCTCTGTGACCTCTGTCGCCGGACACAACGCCCGGTCGACTGTGATCTCTGTGCCATAGGACAGGACTCCCGGTCAGCTGTGACCTCTGACCTCTGTGTCGCAGGACTTGACTAGCCGTGACCTCTATACCCCTGTGCTGCAGGACACGACGCCCGGCCGGCTGGGTCTGGTGCTGACCGGCATGTTCCGACCGGGCTTGGAGGCGGCCTACCTCAGCTACTCCACCTATCTGGTGCTCGGCCTGGCTGCTCGCAGTCCGGACTACTCGCGCAAGATGTTCGACAGGGCGCTGCCGGAGTGCCAGTTTAAGGTGAGGACGCTGTGGCGTTCCCCGTCAGCCATTTTGTGACAGTGATTACAGATGGTGGCCTGCAGCTCTGACTGCCTTACTACTATGCCCTCACTCAGGCTACCGGCAGCGCGCAGTCAGCTGCAGCGAATTCCAGGATAATGAGCACTCGTATTTTATTGATTTGATTTTTTGCTGTTGAGTGTATCATCTTTACAACGCTCATATTTAGGCTTGCCTCAACGCCCCGGACATCCGTGTTATCTTCAGATTCCTGTCGTATCTTTCTGAGCGTCTCTGCCCTACTGCGCAGTTAATCAAGGGGCCGGCATTAAAACTACTAAACATTCTTGGTTTGTCGTGTTGATATTTTTTAGTTGCAGTATTTCTACCTTTTAAACAGCTCACACCCTTTGGCTTATTACGTATGTGCTTTTTCCAACGAGTGCGTGACGTACCAGCAACGGGATTTTGTTTTTATTTGGTACAATCACGCGTCTGTTGCATTGCAAGCCAACGAGATAAATTGTTGATGCATTTGAATTTTCATTCGCATGCTCGAGCCTGGCTGAGAGTTAGATTTTACACCCGCCCAGTCATGAAATAGCCGAAAATGATCGTGACCGTGCGTACGATACTAAGAAGGAGTTACAACTGCTACCGTAGCTTCGTCCATATACCGACTGCTCTGACCGTGGCCTGGTCCGTGTACCGACTGTTCTGACCGTGGCCTGGTCCGTGTACCGACTGCTCCGACCGTGACCTGGTCGGTGTACCGACTGCTCCGACTGTGGCCTGGTCCGTGTACCGACTGCTCCGACCGTGACCTGGTCGGTGTACCGACTGTTCCGACCGTGGCCTGGTCCGTGCACCGACTGTTTTGACCGTGGCCTGGTCCGTGTACCGACTGTTCTGACCGTGGCCTGGTCCGTGTACCGACTGCTCTGACCGTGGCCTGGTCCGTATACCGACTGTTTTGACCGTGGCCTGGTCCGTGTACCGACTGTTCCGACCGTGGCCTGGTCCGTGTACCGACTGTTTTGACCGTGGCCTGGTCCGTGTACCGACTGTTCCGACCGTGGCCTGGTCCGTGCACCGACTGTTTTGACCGTGGCCTGGTCCGTGTACCGACTGTTCCGACCGTGGCCTGGTCCGTGCACCGACTTTTTTGACCGTGGCCTGGTCCGTGTACCGACTGTTCCGACCGTGGCCTGATCCGCGTATCGACTGTTCCGACCGTGGCCTGGTCCGTGTGCCGACTGTTCCGACCGTGGCCTGGTCCGTGTACCGACTGTCCCGACCGTGGCCTGGCCGTGTACCGGCTGTTCCGACCGTGGCCTGGTCCGTGTACCGACTGTTACGACCGTGGCCCGGCCCCTGTACCGACTATTCCGACCGTGGTCCGCTCGGCGCGCCACAGGAGCAGCCGATGGAGACGTCGTGGCGGCTGCAGAGTGCGGCGGCCGTGCCGCTCTTCTCGCTGACGCAGACAGCGTCCGGCAGCGTCGCGCCCGCCTTGCTGCTCCAGGCCACGCAGCGCACCCCGGCCTTCGCGCCCACACAGCTGGCCGGCCCCGGTAAGACCGGCGGCGCGAGGCGCAGGTGCTGTGCGCTCAGTGGTCACAGGGCCTCGGCCGCGCCAGACCGATCGGCGTCAGCCGCGGATCGTTGCGGAAAATATTTTGGCCGCTTGAACAGGACGCCGCGGCCGAAATGGTCCCTGCCTTAAAGCGAATGGGTGACTCGTAGTGAGTGCGCTAAGCGATAGACCAGAGTCATGTACGTCGCTCAGTTATATGCCCTCATACAGTAACAAGTGCGCGCTCTTCGTTTTTGATGCCTCATGCACGTTATGCCTTTTCGTGCCCCCCTCCCCCCCCCCCCCCCCTATGTTGCTGCGCTGTTCGGTTCGCTTGCCTGCCGCGCCGGTGCGAGCGTCTGCCCACGCGCACAGGGGAGGCGACATTCGACTGGCTGACCCAGGCGAGCCTGGGCTCCTCGGCCGACTCCGGCTCGCTGGTGGCCTCGCGCCGTGGCCGCGCTGGTGCCGGACGGCTTACCTACACGGACGACAAGGCCGACGACCGGGCTGGTAAGGACGGGACTGGGAAGGGACAAGCCGTTTGCCGGTGCTTGTCGTGCCTTATATTCCTGTGGGCAGGACGTGCCACGCGTTGTTGGAGGGTGTCTTTTGATGGGAAGCTTGTGCTTGGAGGCAGGACAGCAGGCTAATGTTACTCCGCACTGGACGTTGTCGTGGCTTAGGGCAGTCGTGTGCCATTGCTACTCGGGAAATATATAATTGCCGTCTCTCTGCAGTTGATTTGCATTGACGTTCTGTCCCCAACCAGCCCTTGCTAGGTTAGGTTCTACAGAGTGCGCTCCTCGCTAGGTTCCAGATATTACTGTTGAAACCGGTCGTCCGCTGTATGACGGTTAGGTGCGTCAGCCCGCTCCCACGTCCGCCGATACAGTCCTGCCTTCGGATCTTCGGATCCCCTCCTCGTCAGTGAGCGGCGCGCACGTCCCGCTCCCGGTCGCCGATGGCGCGCCTCCTCGCGTCCGACCGCCGACCATGCCCCGTTTCCACTCTGGCGCTCACCCCGCGGGCGCCGGCAGGCGGCGGTGACGCGGCCGACGAGCGGATGGCGCGGATGCTGCGCCACCGGGTGGAGGTGGACGCGCGCCGCGTGTCGGCCGGCTTCGCGCGCCGCCACGCCGACCAGCGCGCCCTGCTGGAGGAGCGCCAGCGCGACCAAGCGGCGCGCCAGCACGGCCAGGTAGCGGCCGCCGCCGGCCGTGGGCGGCGAGCGGGGCCGGTGGGGAGGAGGTGTTGCCAGCCGCGTGCGGTGTGTGGTGAGGGCGCGGGCCGGTCGTTGTCCGTGGCGGTGCGGCGCGCGGCAGTCGTGTGAGACGGCCGGCCCGGCTCTGCGTGCCGACAGGTGGAGCTGCTGCGGCGGTACCGGCACGGCGAGCTGCCAGACACAGAGATCCCCTACTCGGACCTCTTACGGCCCCTGCAGGCCCTGGCCATGGTGAGGCTCCGCTGGTGGCTCTGGCTTCCGCTGGCACCGGCAGGCGTAGCTCGGGAGATCGTACAATCAATTCAGGTCGCAATGGGGCCCGTTTTAAAGCAAATGCAATGTGCATTCGGCATGTGCTCCGTGGATTAAACTCCCTGGTTCCTGCTCCCAGCTGCCCCTCCCCCTTCCCCTCCTCCTTGGTTAATGTGAAAGCTGAGAAGCCATGTGGCTCCCATTTGGCAACTATGATCGCGTTGAGCAGGTTGCCTTTCCATCGCCTTCATCACACTCTCCGGGGCTAGCCAGCATGCTTCAGTGTGCCTGCTGCCTCTATGCCGCCGTGTCGTCGTCTGGCTTTGCGTGGTTTGCGTAACCACACAGCCACCGCCACACCCCTCCTCCTGTTGACGGCGTCCGTCCGCGCCCGCAGCACGACCCGCCGACGGCGCTGCGCCTGCTGGTCGGCCTGCTGGTCGGCACGCTGGCCGAGCTGGCGCAGCGGGACGCGACACCAGGCGGCGCCACTGTCGCGCAGCAGCACAAACGCCCGGCCGACTCCGCCGGTACGTTTGAGGTCTGAGACAGGCCAACTCCGCCCGTGCGTTGGGGGTCTGGGACAGTCCAACTCCGCCCGTACATTGAGGGTCTGGGACAGGCCGAGTCCACCCGTGCGTTGGGGGTCTGGAACAGGCCGGCTTCGCACATACGTTGGGTCTGGGACAGGCTGACTCCTCCCGTATGTTGGGAATGTGGGACAGGCGGCCGGCGGTGATGGGATGGGGGGGGGGGGGGCTGTTTGATGGGGAGTTGGTGCGCGTTTTGTGTGATTCTTCTGCACTTAACTGTGCGGCTAACTGCTCAATCACAGCTCAAGCAAATCGTTTCGATAGAATATGAATAGGATCCGGCATTTTTCACGCGTGGTCTTTACTCACTGCAACAGCCCGTCTCACCGGGGACGTGCCGTGGCCTCGAGTCTGTTCCGCGGCCGCCTTGACGGTGTCCACGCCGCCCGAACACCTGCACACGTCCTGATTTGGGGTTGCTGCCTCGGACCAAGCTCTGTGGCCTTGAGAACTCACGATGACCTGAGTGCCATCCCCTGCCCCCCTCTTACCACTGCCTACTTGGGCAACTTGCAGTGGTCGATCGTCGATAAAGGAGCTCTGATCATACGAAACGAAGCATGTTTAGCTTGGTGTTATTGTCGTGTTTATTATTGTTGTGGGCGCTTGTACAACTCTGAAGTGGTCGATCGTCGATGAAGGAGCTCTGGCTATACGAAACGAAGCAGGTTTAGCTTGGTAGCATTATTACTTGGTTTAGCCATGGTGAGGCAACCATTTTCGTAATAAAACACAGGCAATGGTGTGCGCTCTCGGTTGCAATAAGTCCTCATCAGCTTGCCGTCCCGACTACCCACCCGCGTCACGCGGCGTCCGCCACCGAACGACACTCTGACACAGTCTCCCGGCAGCGCACCGCCGCCTGCTGCAGAGCGTGCAGACGGGGCTGGCGAGCACGCTGCGCCGCCTACGCCACCCGGACCCGTGCCTGGTGGAGGCGGCGCTGCGGGCGGCCCGCGGCGCCGGCGTCCGCCTGCCGCCGCCGTTAGTCGTGTCCGGTGAGTGGGCCGCGTGTGATCGCCAGCCTGCGGCGACGCTGGCTGCTCTCCCTCGGGCGCGCTCGGTCTTAGCCAGCAGGTACCAGCCGGTGACGCCTTTAAGATGGCGTCGGTCCTTGTGAACAGACGCTGGCAACTGTGTACGACATGTGGCTGGTAATTCACACTCAGGCGCCTGTGACGGCGTTGGGCCGTTGTTGGGCCGGTGTTGGGACGGTTCTCGTCCCGGGCGCCTGTGACGGCGTTGGGTCGGTGTCGGGCCGGTGTTGGGACGGTTCTCGGTCCGGTTGGCGCCGCGCACGGTCCCGCGGCGCGGAGGGACGCCCTGGCGCCGTCTGACGCCGCTGCGCCGCGCCGCCGGCAGCGTGCAGGGCCAGCGGCCAGTCGGCGGCCGGGATCCTGGCGCTGGAGCAGGCGCTGCTGGAGCCGGAGCCGGAGCCGGGCGGCCGGCCGCAGAAGCTGGCGCGGTGCGAAGCCGGCGAGGCGGGCGACACCGCTGACCAGCTCTGGACCGGACTGGCCGAGTGAGAGGGCGGCGGCCGACATCCGCCGGCGAGCGCGTCGGCTGCAGCCGGTCTTGCCGTCGGGCTGCTGGGGGGCTGTCGCCGCTCGCGTCAGCTGACTCGATAGCGATATGTTCTCTGAGCCCATTGCAGGAAGATGCGATATCTTAATGGTATTCACGCATGTGATCCTGTGTTCATACTGGCCGTAGCAAAAAAGTCGTTCACAGTTAGGTTTATAGCCGCACCGATGATTGGAATGATGCATCCCGGTCTCCGCAGATCCCTCTGATCATATAGCTGTACTCCCGCCCATTCCTGCACCGCCGTACCTAGGTTGCGTATCCATCTTTGGAGCCCCGGCGTGTCCTTTCGGGCAGTACCCTGATTTTCATGCACACGCGTGATCCTGCATTCCCCGCTCTCATCCGTCATCGCAGGGCTCTGTCTCCGCCCACGCCCATCCTTGTACCGCCCTACCCCTGCTGATCCACCCCTGCGATCCTATACCGCGCAGGCGGTCCGCGGACGCGCGCGCGGCCCCCTGATGCCGCCCGCCGCCGGGCAGGCTGTACCGAGAGCACGGCGACTGGGACTCGGCGCGGGCGGCGTTCGCGCGGCGTCGCGGGCTGGCGGCCGACTGGGCCGCCGCGCTGGAGGCAGAGGCGCGCGGTGACCTGCAGGACGCCCAGCGCAGCTACAAGGCCGCGGTGCGCGGCGGCGGCGACGAGCTCTGTCAGCAGTCGTACTTCCAGGTGCGCCCGACGGTGGGACGGCGGGGGAGGGGAGGAGAGGCACTTTTCACGTCCGACCAGGGCTGGTGGAGTCCGGCAGTGGGTCACGCTGTGCTGTGATGTCGTGCGGACGGGTGCGGTTTGCACGCGCTGGCTTTCTGTGGAATCACACAGCGGGTGGGGCATGGTGCTTAGATGTCGTCATAAAAATGTTGAGCGCTGCTCCCACCGTTTTGTAGCCTGGGACCAGCGAGTATCGGTGACAGGGCAGTTCAAAGTGGTTGTTATGCGTTTATTCAGCAGTGTGATGTGTCCACATATTCTGTTGCCGATGTGAGGATGTGAGGCTGAGAGTCGGACCTGGGCCTCACGGTTGTGGGCTGGAGTCCTGGACGAGCTAGATCTAAGTGCAGTGAGCGGCTGCCGTCAAGCGGCCGTTTGGTGACGGGATAATACCGCACGTCACGCTCTGGCGAGGCAGCGTGACGTGCTGGCCGGGCATCGTCGGCCGGTGTCGACATTGGAGGACGGCGTGGCCGGCCGGGCCGTGACTCCGCGCGTCGCCGCAGTGCCTGGCGGAGCTGTCGATGTGGGACGACATCAGTGCCAGCGTCGACAAGGAGCTGACCCCCCGTGGCAGCCGCGACCCCGATCCCGACATGATCTGGCTGCCGGGCAACGAGAGGTCAGCAGAGCGGCGTGTGGCCGTGACACCGGCAGTCATCGGCCACGCCCGCCGCCGTGTCTGGGTGTGCTGCCGTCCTGACGTGGCCCGCGCCGTCTGTCCCGCTGCCCGGTCCCAACGCCCGCCGTGCCGCCCCGGCCGTCCTGCCGCTGCTCTCAGGCGGCAGGCTCGCGGTCTGCCGGGCCGTTTGAGCGGCACATGCGTTGTGTGGTAATGTGAGCAGCGAAACTTCCCGGTCGCTTGTTGAAGCAGCGCTCATTGGGCCTTGCGTACGCACTTATGAACTCAAAGCGGCGTTGTGCATTGTAATCTTGGTCTCCGTTTGCCAAGCGCTCGGGACTGTCTCCCACGGCGAGCGAGCGACGCAGCGCACGGGGCCGTCTGTGTGAGCGCGTCAGCTGTCTCTCGGCAGCTATGTGGACCACCTGCTGCCGTGGCTGGTGCGCAGCAACACCCAGCTGGCAGCCGAGGGCGACCAGCGGGCCGGCGACCGGCTCGGCGCCTTCCTCGACCGCTGCCTGAAGGAGGAGGCCAGCCGCCGCGTGGTGGAGGTGAGCGCCGCGCTGCGTCCGCACGCCGGCGCCGTCCGTGCCGTCCGTCCGGCACGGCACGGGTGCAGGGAATTCGAGGGGAGGGGGGGGGGGGGGGGGCTGGCGCGTCGCCCTGTCCACTTCCGAGGCTCTGGCCGGTCAGTGCTCTGATGGTTGTTCATCCCCTGCGCAGAGCCGCTTCTCGGAGGAGCTGGCGCTGCGTTTCGCGTCGTCCGGGGACCTGGCCCAGGCTCGAGCCTACTGCGAGACGGCCAAGGCGGCGTTCCTGCGCGACTGGAGTGCTGCCAGCGCCTCGAGCGGTCGGCCGAGGAAACGACTGCTGCAGCAACTCATCAGAATCATGGAGATGCAGGTCTGCTGTTTTGATATGCGTTGGATTGTGGTATTAGGACTATTTTGTTGATTTCATAGCTCGCGGCATCACCTGGTGCATATGGCGTGAGCAAGTAATACGAATTCAATATTGACTGCGTCATCTGCACCGGCTGTCACGAACATTTCGCTGGTGGCTTGTGCGATTCGGTGGTTGATGTAAGCTTTGGTGGTTGATGGCGTGCTTCGTCCCTTGAAAAACTCATTCATTTGAATGGTTCGTGGCTTAACAGCGCGTAATGGACGAATCGTGCGGGTCAAATGGTCGGAGGGGACCAACTCCTCATGTGCTCTTGAATACCACTGTTGCGTGCACTTGCGCATATGCGTCCTGCCGCGATTGACCTAGCAGATTTGGCCGCTGCTGCCGTCGTCCCAGCAGTGTCCGGCCGCCTCCGCTGTTGTCCCGGCGGTGTCCGGCTTCTGCCGCTTTTGTCCGGCAGTGTCCGACCTCTGCCGGTATTGTCTCGGCGGTGTCCGGCCTCTGTCGGTATTGCCCCGGCAGTGTCCGGACGCCGCCGCTGTTGTCCCGGCAGTGCCCGGCCGCCGCCGCTGTTTTCCCGGATGTGTCCGGCCGCCGCCGCTGACCTTTCTTGGTCGTGCTCTGCGGCAGGAGTACGTGTCTGCCGCCTCCGGCCCGGACCCGGCGGCGTCGGCGGCCGCGCTGCTGCGGCGCTGGCAGTCCCGCTACCCGTCGGCCCACGAGAACCTGGCCTTCTGGGAGAGCCTGATCACCAGACGGTGAGCATCCACGGCCGGCGGCAGCCTGAACGCCCGGCGAGCCGCTGCGTTTGTGAGCAGCTGGTGCCGGCATGTGTGGGCTTCGCGATTGTCAAACAACTCTTTGGGATGCTCTAGCCTTTTTGACTGTATTTGTTCGGCGTTGCCGATGCGTTCCGTGTCCTGGTTCGCGTCTGCGTGACACTGACAGGTCCCGGGCTGCGTGCAGGCGGCGTGAGTCGCCCACGCCGGCGGAATCATGTCGGGTACTGTCGACCAAGGCTGAAGATGGGATTCACCAATTAGTGACCGTCACGGGTCTTCTTCTGTGCCCTCCGCGTGTTGTCGAAAAAGACGGCCGCGTGTTTTGTTGTGGTTTGTCCTGCCGTCGCACGCGGCCCCGTCGCTGCCTCCGGTCCCGTCTCGGCCACGCCTCCCCTCCATTGACGCAGGCAGCTGTACGTGGACCGGCTGGCGGGGCACCTGACCGAGGCGGACGCGGCGCGCGCCCAGAAGCTGCAGCACTCGGCCCGACTCCGTCTGGTGGAGGCGGCGCTGGCGCAGGTCAACGTCACCGCCGCCGAGGCTCACCTGAAACGTCTGGAGCACCAGCTCCCCAGTCTCAGACAGGTGAGGCGGGCGCGCCGCTCGTGTCGCGTCGCCGCGCCGCGCGCTGCTGGGTTTGTCGAGCACCAGCTCCCCAGTCTCAGACAGGTGAGGCGGGCGCACCACTCGTGTCGCGTCGCCGCGCCGCACGGTGCTAGGTTTGTCGTGGCCGATAGCAGCTAAAAGCTTGTAACAGCTGGCGGCGTTGGCATGGGTTCGTGGCGCTGTGCGGGTGTGGCGAGGCTTCTCCGTGGCCATGGCCGAGCCCAACGTTAATTGCTTGCGAGTTGACGTACCTTTTAAAAGTTGAATCCACTTGCGCCTTTCCGTGATGCGCTTTGATTTTTGAATACGCGTCTGACTCCCAATATATCAGACTCCCTCCGATACGTACGTGGCCATCACGACCGAGCACCCAACAAGTCCTGCTGTGGTGTGCGAAAAACAAAGATGATCATGCGATCGTTTGACCCTGGGTCCTCCGCTATGAACTGGGAAGGCCTTGAGGTGGCGCTCTGCTGGCGCAGTCACTATGGCTAACGCGGCCGCGCGAGTGCGGGCAGTGTGACACTGCGCGCGGAGATGCGTGTCTGCCGACGGCCGTTGGGGCAGCCCCGTCTGAGCTTCCACCGGCCCCGCCGCCGCCAGGGGGACGCCGTGTCCGGCTCGGACCTGCACACCGAGTACCGGCTGCTGTGGCTGCACGCCGACCTACTGCAGGCCGGCGGCAGCGAGGATCTGCTGCGCACGTGGCGCGCGCTCGGTAAGGCGCCGACGGCGAGGCAGCAGCGACGGCACGTGACCACCGCAGGGCACGCGCGCCGACAGATGGGCAGTGTGCGGCGGAATTCCAACGTCTGTTGGCTTTAGGGGACATTGCCGGCATACTGCCGGCATTGCAGCATGTGGATGTGTGAGTATTTCTTTGAGGTGTGTAGCAGGCGAGTTTTTTTCCTGTCGCACATCTTCCACACGTGCTGTTGGGGATTGTTGTCCACTCCTGGTTGTCGAGCGTCGTCATTGTCACCGTACACGCTCCGCGCTCCGGGCCCGAAGCAGGCGTCGTCTTCACCGTCACCGACACGGCGCCGCCTCCGTCCACAGAGTTAGAGCTCCCGTGGCGGTCGGCGGCGGCGGCGCTGCCGCCAGCGCCACTGCTGCGGCGGGTGCGGCTGGAGGTGCGGCTGGCCGAGCGGCTGGCGGCGGCGCCCAGCCCGGCCGGCCCTGCCGAGCCCCTGCTCAGTCTGCTCGACGACTCGCAGCTGGACCGGTGAGCGAGGCCGGCTGCCGCCGCGTGGCCAGCGCGCGCACCAGTGCTGGAGTACCGTACCGGCGCGACAGCCGCCCAGCTCCGCCGCTTCTTTGATGTTCTCCGTTGGTGTTTTCAGTTTTGCGTAGTGCGATGCGGTGAAGGCATGCAGTGTATAATAGCCAAAGGTGTGGTTGTTTCATCGGAGAACCCCAGTTGTACTGTGAACTGAACATAGACGAACGCCGTCCAGCGGCGTCCGTGTCGCCGAACCCTGGCTGCGCGGGCAGCGAGTCGCCCCAGTGCCGTGTTCTCACCGCGACTGCGCTCCGTCAGCGAGTCGAGCACGGCTCAGTCGGCGGTCTCGCTGGCGCTCCACCGCCTGTCGGCGACGATGGAAAGCAGCCGCGACACGTCGCTGGCCGCCGAGGCCTGCCTGGAGGCGGCCAGGTTCTGCGCCCGACACCTGGAGACGGCGGCGGCCGGAGGTCAGTCGGCCCTGTCACGCGCTGTCAGTCAGGGGAGACCTAGCCTAGTCAGCAGGCAGCGGCTGCAGCGTCCACAGCGGGATCTGTGCGCCCCTGGTCAGAACATGCCAATGAAACAGACGTCAGTCGTGTGTACTGCGGCTGACACCAGGCTCGTCTGCGGGGTCCCTTTCGCTTTGCCTCGTATCCATGGCAGTGTAGCACACCGGCGCCTGACCGCCGTGCCACCCTCAGACGAGTCCGCGCTGGCGGTCCGGCTGCGCGGCTCGTTCGTGGCCGGCACGCTGCGGGCGATGGCGACCGGCTGGACGGAAGCCGCCGACTGGCTGCCCCGGCTGCTGCAGCTGGCCGACGAACACGCCGACGCCGCGCGCGCCTTCGAGCACCAGGTCGCACATGCACGCCACCGGCCGAGCGCCAAGGGTCGTGAGACGGGCGTTGGCGTCACTAAGTTTGATAAAACACCTGCCTTGCAGCCCTAGGGACCTATCAACTGTGTATGTGCAGCCCGTTTTTATCTAGATTGACTTCGGCGCCTAATGATGCACCCCCACTTTGGAGAGCGCATGCAGGAGTTTGCAGAATATCCGCACAGGCTGCTGCAAGTGACCGCCTTGCGTGTACATGTAAAGGGACTAAGTAATGACCACTGCATGTGATCAACACTTACCGACGCGCGCAAGTTGTCATCGTCGCTCGTTCTCAGCGTTCGCTAAATTTGCAGCTTTTCACCCATCAGAGGCGTCATTTCACAGAGAGCGTATCATGATTCATCGGCACAAGGACCACCCTGTCGGTAGAGTGAAAGGAGATATATCAACACCCACAGGGAAAGCCTGGCAAGTGCCGTAGCGCGCCGCCCCCTGTTTTAGCACCTGGCAAGCATTTGCAGCTCAGTTCATTGCTGGCAATGTGCGCTATCAGCCTCCAAACGGCTGTGTGCTGTGCGGCAGCCGCGCCCCACTATCAGCCTCCAGACGGCCGTTTGGTGTGCGGCAGCGCGCTCCACTACCAGCCTCCAGACGGCCTTGTGCTGTGCGGCAGCCGCGCTCCACTACCAGCCTCCAGACGGCCGTGTGCTGTGCGGCAGCCGCGCTCCACTACCAGCCTTCAGACGGCCGTGTGCTGCGCGGCAGCCGCGCTCCACTTTCAGCCTCCAGACGGTCGTGTGCTGCACGGCAGCCGCGCTCTTCTATGTCGGCAGCCGCCAGGTTTTTCCCCGGTCTCGCGCCAAGCCCCGTGCGGAGTCGCGCGGAGACCGGGCCACCGACGGCGGCCCGCGGGGACCGGCGCCAGCGGCCGGTCCCTGCTGACGTCCGCCGCGCCTGTTTCAGCGCACGGCCGTGCCGAGCTGGATGTACCTGGGCTGGCTGCCGCAGCTGCTGTCGTACTGCGCCTCAGCGGGCGCCGGCGTCGCGGTGCGGCCGCTGCTGCTGGCGCTGGCCGAGCAGTACCCGCAGGCGGTGATCTACCCGCTGATGGTGTGCCGAGCCGACACCGAGCCCCGGCCGCCCGAGATGGAGGCCTGCCTGCAGCGGTGCGTGCTTCAGCCGTGTGGCGGTGACTCGAGCTTGTGTCGAAGTCCCGTCGGACACGCTCGGCCGCCAGGCGCCGCGCCTGCCGTGAGCTGCAGCGCCGCCTGTCGTAAAACCCGCCGGGACTGCAGCGCGTCCCATCGTAAGACTTCAAGAGGGAGGGCCGGGCCCAGCCATCAGACTTCCGGTGTACGAATGTAACTGAACGGCCCCCGCAAACCTGTGTCCGAAAGAAAACGCACGTACTCATCCTCGGGAAGTATGGCATGACGGTAGTGAACAGTATTTTTGGTACACGTGTCGCTAGCGGTATGAGAGGTGTCTTTGCTGCTTGTGGCTGGACTGCTGTCACGTCTTGTTGTGGCAGGATGGGCCGGGACTCGACTGTGCGCGATTGCTCACTAAAAACCAACTAGGCGCTGATCATCGGGATCTGAGCAGTGCGCCTCCGTTGTCTCTGCCGTCGACGTGAACGCCGCCCCGTCCGTTTCCGGCAGCGCTGACGCCCTACTGGGCTCGTGCCGCCTGCCGACGCTGCTGGTGCGCGAGCTAGAGCTGCTGCGGCCGGCCGGCTGGCGGGAGCGGCTTGCGGCGCTGGCCAAGCAGCTGGCGGTCGGCCAGTGGCAGCGCGCCGCCGCCGACTGGGCGGAGGCCGGCCGGCTGGCGTGCGGCCCCCTGGCCGGCCCGGACGCGCCAGCCGAGTTGGCGCGCTGCGCCCGCGAGCTCGACACCCTCTGCCGCGAGGACGGCTCCGGCATCGGCGCGGCGGCCGCGCCCAACATCGAAAGGGCGGTCAAGGTTGGCGATCCGGGCGGAGCGGCGCACGCGACGGGCTGCTGAGTGCGAGAGGCAGGGTCCTGGGCGCCGCGAGCGGGGTGCTGGGTGCGGGGGTGGGGTTTTGGACGCCGCGAGCGGGGTGCTGAGTGCGGGGGGCGGGGTCCTGGGCGCTGCGAGCGGGGTGCTGAGTGCGAGGAGCAAGGTCCTGGGCGCCGCGAGCGGGGTGCTGAGTGCGGGGGGCAGGGTCTTGAGCGCCGCGAGCGGGTGCTGAGTGCGGGGTCAGGGTCCTCGGCGCCGCGAGCGGGGTGCTGAGTGCGAGGGGCAGGGTCCTGGGCGCCGCGAGCGGGGTGCTGAGTGCGGGGTCAGGGTCCGCGAGCGGGATTCGCGGATGGTATAGCAGGCTCGGAGACGACCGGCGCCCGATGGCGGGCCTGTCATATCATTGCATCGCGGAATGTCTGGGCTGTGTTGTGCTGTGTGTCTTGATGGGCGATGAGCTGATTCACTGAGCCTGGCTGGGCAGCCCCTGCCCGGCTCGGTAGCATGCTTAGCTGTGGCGGCGTGGGTCGTGTTCGCTTCACCGGCCCCGCGTGTGCCTATAAGTTGGACCCTGGCGCCAGCTGTCCGAGTGCGGTGCGCCTTACATCACGTCAACGAAGCTCGATCAGTTGTCCGATGTTGTTCATATGCTTACTTGTAGATTGGCCCACGGTTCGACTCAGAACTGGTGGCTGGTCATTTAGTCTTCAACTCGTATCGCCTATCTGGCGGCCAGTTCGAGGAGCTGCGTGTGCTCCTGGTTGTGGTTTTCTTAAGATGATTCCATCGTTTCGCGGTAGAGTTTCATATGCTGGTGGTGTTCCGTACGGTTCCAGAAGCCGACGATCTGACTCGGCACTGTTCCAGGATGTAATAACCTGCGCCGGTCCTGCATTGTTGCGGAATCTTTTGATCCGTTCCAGCAGTGTGACAAGCCCATGCTGCACCCCGGGACCGTTCGAGTAGCGAACGATCGGATCGGGCTACTGTCCCTGGGGCAGATGACCTGTGACCTGTTCTCGGACCGTGCGATCCACCTGCGCTCTCCCGTAGTCGCCGGCTCTTCCGCGCTGTCCGTGGAGCCGACAGCGGTCCGCTGACCGTTTCAGGCGATGCTCGACTCGCCCGTGGAGACGCGCCTGAGCCAGTACAGCAGCTGGCTGGCCACCTTCCAGGACGTGGAGCAGCTGGAGCGGCTGGAGCTGCCCGGCCAGTACAGCGGCCGCCGCCGGCCCACGCCTGAACGCCACGTCCACGTGGCCAACTTCGGCCAGCAGGTGTGCGGGCGGGGCGCGGAGGGGCCCGGCTGGCGCCGGCCGGCTCCGGGGCGGGGCGGCGATGAGGACGATCGGATGGGCCACCACCGGGAGCATCTGTCGGAAGGGGAGGGGGGCGGTGGGAAAGGGGGTACCGATGGCCGAGGGGAACTCCTGGGCGCCTGGCGGGACTAGTGACTGTTATGTTTTCGGTCCGTGCTCTGTCGGTACACGGCTCGGCGGAGCATCCATACACGGCGGATGCGGGCTTAGAACTGTATTGCCTCAAAGCAGGCGGGGGCAGCACTAGCGCCGCCACGTGGACAACCTGACCGGTGGCAGCAGTTTTCCTTCAGAACATTACAGTGACCTGCATCGACTGGCCTGCTTACGTCATGATTCATTAGCAATTCTGAAGCAATGTCACTGGTCCGTTTTGGCGGTTATTGACTCCGCCCTATCCGAATCTGGGGTGCATGGGTACGCGCACAAGCATTGTGCCACCGGAGGTATCGTCCTCGCATGTCCCATCCATATGGCTGGTCTGTGCGTGTGCGGACGGCCGCGGTCCGGGCGCCTGTGCGGACGGGCGCGATCGGGGCGCCTGTGCGGACGGGCGCGATCAGGGTGCCTGTGCGGACGGCCGCGGTCCGGGCGCCTGTGCGGACGGGCGCGATCGGGGCGCCTGTGCGGGCGGGCGCGATCAGGGCGCCTGTGCGGACGGGCGCGGTCCGGGCGTCTGTGCGGACGGGCGCGATCGGGGCGCCTGTGCGGACGGGCGCGATCGGGGCGCCTGTGCGGACGGGCGCGATCGGGGCGCCTGTGCGGACGGCCGCGGTCTGGGCGCCTGTGCGGACGGGCGAGATCAGGGCGCCTGTGCGGACGGGCGCGATCGGGGCGCCTGTGCGGACGGGCGCGATGGGGGCGCCTGTGCGGACGGGCGCGATCAGGGCGCCTGTGCGGACGGCCGCGGTCCGGGCGTCTGCGCGGACGGGCGCGGTCCAGGCACCCGTGCGGACCTGGCACCCACTTGACGCCGGCCTCGGCCGGCCAGGTGCGCGTGCTCGCCTCCCTTAAGCGGCCCGTGCTGCTGACGGCGCGAGGTGACGACGCCCGCGAGTATCGCTACCTGGTGAAGAGCGGCGACGACCTGCGCACCGACCAGCGCCTGCAGCAGCTGTTCGACATCATGAACGGCTCGCTGGCAGCCGACCCACGCACCGCCGCCCGCCACCTGACCATACGCACCTACAAGGTCAGACAGTGTCTGTGTGTGTGTCGGCAAGGCTGGACGGTCGTGAGTTGAGTGTGGCGCATCGCCAGATGGTTCGATGTTGTGCGCCAAGCCCGCGTCCCGGACGTCCTCTTTTCGTGATTTTTCACGTTTTCCCAAATTCGAACCACAGAGTATTGCATTGTTTGCATAGAGACAGTGTTTGCAGCTCGCTTCTCTGATCGTGGTTCATCAGCCAGGTTTGCTAGGGTTTCCTTAAGTTGTTGATAATTAGCGGCGCTGCCTGGCTCGGACTGTTGCGGGGTTGGCCAGAGCGCGCCGGCCGTCACGTGCGCTGCTCACCTGCGCCGCCAGGTGCTGCCGATGAAGCCCACCCTGGGCGTGATCGAGTGGATCGACAACACGGAGACGCTGCACCAGTTCCTGGCCTCGGCCTCTCCAGGGTGCGTGGCCGTCGGACCCCGACCTCACACGAACGGCGTGCGTGTGTGGAGTCAGAACATGGGCCTTCGTCATGTTCGTATCGGTTGCATTTGGCCATCGGGGTAAATGTTAAGTTAAGAGCCCATCAGCTCACGCCGGAAAATTTGCTGCCTGTCGGCACGACGGTTTTTTTTTTGGGGGGGGGGGGGAGCTTGTCGGATCACATAGAGTTTAGGGTATTGCACCGAAAGGTTGGCCGATTTCTTAGTCAATGGTTGATAAGTCCCGTAAGATTTCGCTGTTTTCGCTGCCCGGCTCCCACTTCTAGAACTGAGCCACAGATTGGTCGTTAATAACTGATTGTGGTCTGAGGCCTGGTATTAGAGAGCGGAAAATAACGTTAAGCTTCAGTGTTGTATAATGTTATAACACAGTGCTACCTGAGTGCTGCTGCTAAGGTCATCTACTTGCGGTCGGGCTGTTTCGACTCCCATGTAAAGGTGAAACGCCACCATTATGACGCACGGGCCGACAACGACCCAGCTTGCTACGTTCCCTGCTATAATCGCCGTTATAGCCCCATCTGGTGAGCGCATCGTACGGATGTGAGCCCGTGGCCGGCTCTCTGCCGCCGGGGTGGCGCCCGGCCGGCCGTGTCCTGGTGCCTGCCGTCCCCGCCGTGTGTCCCGCTGCCGCCGCGGCCGGAGGGCGGCGGCCTGACGCGTCGCCGCCGCCGCCCCCGCCGCAGGTTCGAGCGGCGCTGCGAGGAAGCGCGCCGGCTGCACGTGGCCCAGATGCAGCAGCACGCCACGTCCGACAAGCCGCCGGCGCTGCACGGCGCGTACGCGTGTCACGCGCCCCGGCAGACGGTGGAGCGCGACCTGCGGGCGCGGGAGAAGGTCGTCGGCGGCGGAGACGCCGGCTCCGGCCGCGCCCTGCTCCGGTGGGTAGGGATAGCTGTATGGAGCCACCTCACCGAGAGCGAGAGAGAGAGAGCGTAGCTTGGTCGTGACGGGCTGCACCACGGGAGTGGACAAGCGGTTCCTTTGCCGAATGACTGGTGGTCGTGCCATCCGGGCGGCTGGGTCGCTCAGTGTTTGGTGGATGCCAGCTGGGATACGCAAGGTGGCAAAGTCCATGTTGCTTCTTCTCATGTGTCGATGGCAAATTTGGACTAGCTGTTGCGGTCGTAGCGTGTTGCTGCAGCTGTCGTGTGGTTGGTGATTGCAATTTAATTGTGCATTGCAGTGTTACGCCTATTTTTACACAGCTAGGTTAGCCAATTTGTGTGGGTAGCATACGAGTCGTTGACTAGAGACCCCCGGCCTCCAAACGAGCCTCTATCATATGCTGTCAGTGCTGCGTGGCTTATAGCGCCGCTGCTTCCCCCACAGGGAAGCGCTGTTCAACCTGAGCCGCGACCCGGAGGCCTTTCTTCGCTTGCGGACGAACCTGGCTGTCTCGCACGCGCTGCTCTCGGCTGCCGGCTGGCTGCTCGGCGTCGGCGACCGCCACCTCTCAAACTTCCTCGTCTCGCTGGACGACGGTGAGCGCGGCTGGTGCCGTCTTGGCCGCCCCGGGCGCTGGATGCCGGGCTGGGGCGGCCCATGTCCCGAGCCTCACGGCGGTTCTCAGAGGCTGGCGTCTTCGCATGACTGCCCACTGGCTGCGTGGCGGCGGTGCGCCACGCCCAAGTCCCGCGGCCGCCAGGGTCCGGGACTTGGCATTTGATTTTCCTGTCCCCGCTCGGCTCTCCCGGTGACACTGGTCAGAGTGTATGATGCTGTGTGTGACTGCACGGAAAGCATGACCTTGTTCAATGCCGTGTTCGAGACTGAACTCTCGTTTCTCCCGCCGCGCTGCAGGGACGCTCATCGGCATTGACTTCGGCCTGGCGTTCGGGTCGGCCACGCAGCTGCCGGTGCCGGAGCTGGTGCCGTTCCGACTGACGCCGCAGCTGGCCGGCGTCACCTCGCCGTTAGGACCGGCTGGTGAGGAGCCGCACTCACAACCGGATCGTGCGCCTCGCTCAACGGGCCTGCTGAGTTTGGGATTTGTGCCTGCATCGCTGCCTGACGTGGCTAGGGCTCAGCTAGGCTTGAGTGTTCTACTGCAATACACACCAGCGGCACCCGGCCCTTTCACGCGACAATCCTGAGTAAACTCAGCTGTCGTGCTATCGTGTCCGCCGCTACGAAACAGCGCCGTCCTGGCCGACACGCCCAGTCGCACCTGCCGTCAGTGACCGGGCCGTCGCGTCCCCGCCGGCCAGCCCTGTGTCGCGTGACGCTGACGGCGCGCCGCACCGGCAGGGCTGACGCGGCAGACACTGCTGCACGCGCTGCAGGCGCTCCGCTCCTCGCACCAGCTGCTGGCCGCCACGCTGGAGGTTTTTGTGCGCGAGCCGACCGTCAACTGGGCGGAGCACGTCCGGAAGGGCGCCGCCGCCGCCCGCCGGGGTAGGCGGCTGCAGCGGTCGCCAGACGCCGGCCGCACAGGCCCCGTCTCGGCGCGCCACGTCAGGACCGGGCGGGCGGCGCTGTCCGCGGTGCTTTCAGTTGGCCGACCGAGATTGTTGCCATGGCTGTCGTGCCGAACTGCCGTCGTTTGCGTGCCTGTCTGATTTCGTTGTCCTTGCCCACAAATTGCGCGGGAGCGGTGCGATACGCACGGCTCTGTTGCGCGAATACGGGTCTAGTGACACACCGCGCTTTGTCAGCACGTGTGTGTGTGTGTGTGCGTATGCGTGTGCGTGTGCGTGCGCGTGCGTGTGTGTGTGTGCGTGCGTGCGTGCGTGCCTGCGTGTGTGCGTCGACTCGTCTGTTGCCAAGGGCTGGCCCGGCGTCGGCAAGCCCGCCAGTGTGCCACTGCGCCTCCCCTGCCCCCAGACTGCCAGTCGGTGAAGGAGTACGCCAGGCGATGCGTGCGCTTGGCGCGCCGCTGTCTGGAGGGCGGCCACCCCTCGGCCATGGTGTGTGAGCTGCTGGCGGGCAGCTCGCTGCCGGCGCAGCAGGGCCAAGCCTGGGCGGCTGTCGCCCGCGGTCGGCCCGGTCTGGACCCGCGCGCGGATCTGCCCGACGACGGTCTCACCGTGCAGCAGCAGGTAAGAGGTCAGGGATCAGAGGTCAGGTACATGGCCGGGTGGCTGGAGGTCCGAAGCGCCAAGGGCTGGTTGTTACAGAAGACCGGGTGGCTGGAGGTTCGAAGCGCTAAGGGCTGGTGGTTACAGGAGACCGCGTGGCTGGAGGTTCGAAGCGCTAAGGGCTGGTGGTTACAGGAGACCGGGTGGCTGGAGGTCCGAAGCGCTAAGGGCTGGTGGTTACAGGAGTGTCGAGTCATGCCGCTCAGCGTATTCCACCAGATGGGTGCCGCTGCCCACATGACAGCACCACAAGCTCCCAGTGCCGGCCCTCGTCTGACGCGTTGTGTTGACAACGGCCGCCCTTGCCCGGCCAGGTGACATGTCTGATGGACCTGGCCACCGACCCGTACGTGCTGGGCCTGGCTTACTTCGGCTGGGAGGCGCACGTCTAGTCGCAGGGGGTCGGGGTCGGCCGACGCTCGCCTGAGCACGGCTGTCGCCGCGGGAAGAGTCGTCCTCGGCCGACACCGATCCACGGACAGCCGTCCTGGGCTGACACCGATCCACGGAGAGCCGTCCTGGGCTGACACCGATCAACGGACAGCCGTCCTGGGCTGACACCGATCCACGGACAGCCGTCCTGGGCTGACACCGATCCACGGAGAGCCGTCCTGGGCTGACACCGATCAACGGACAGCCGCCCTGGGCTGACACCGATCAACGGACAGCCGTCCTGGGCTGACACCGATCCACGGAGAGTCGTCCTCGGCGGACACCGATCCACGGAGAGTCGTCCTCGGCGGACACCGATCCACGGAGAGTCGTCCTCGGCGGACACCGATTCACGGAGAGTCGTCCTCGCTGACACCGATCCACGGAGAGCCGCCCACAACTTACACCGATCCACGGAGAATCGTCCTCGGCTTACACTGATTCACCTAGAGTCGTCATCGGCTTACATCGGTCCACAAGGAATCGTCCTCGACTGACCCCGATTCACGTAGAGTCGTCCACAACTTACACCGATCCACGGAGAATCGTCCTCGGCTTACACTGATTCACCTAGAGTCGTCGTCGGCTTACATCGGTCCACAAGGAATCGTCGTCGACTGACACCGATCCACGGAAAGCCGCCCACAACTTGCACCGATCCACGGAGAATCGTCCTCGGCTTACACTGATTCACGGAGAGTCGTCATCGGCTTACATCGGTCCACAAGGAATCGTCCTCGACTGACACCAATTCACGGAGAGTCGTCCACAGCTCACACCGATCCACGGAGAATCGCCCCCGGCTGACGCCGATTCACGGAGAGTCGTCCCCGGCTTGCATCGGTCCACGGGGAGCCGTCTCCGTCGCTTGCCTGGGCATGGGTTACCGTGCAGGGAGACCGCTGAAGCGAAGTCGCGGTGTGGGAGTGAATGAAGCCCATACTGCCCAAATTATATAGTTGTTTCATGAAGTTGATCATCACGTGTGCAGCTGTGGTCATCACGTATGCGTCACGTGTGCAGTTGCGATAATCACGTTTGCGTCATGTGTGCAGCTTTGTTATGCATGTGCTTTTAGTGCTGTCCTGTATGGTTACATACAGTTCACTGTAAGGGTCTGCTAATCCCTTTCTACACTATTGTGAAAGCCAAACGTATTTTTTTTTAGCACGTGCGTGGCTGCCTGCTTTGTTTGGCGTGTTCAGACTGCTATAGGCTGTATTGCCGCGTGCAAGCATTGCGTTATCCGATGATGACGGCTCGCCAATGCTATGCCGCGGTGGGACGGAGTATATATCAGTCTAACGAATTAGTGCCTGTTAGGTGACTAAATAGTTACGTCATGCACTACATATTGCCATTACAGAATAAGGCAGGTTTTATCCTGCTCCCAGTGTGATAAATCCGAGCAGCTTGCTTGCTTTGATGAGATGGGAGCATCAGCGCCGTCCAGAATGACCTTTGATTGTTTGGGGTGCCCCTTCAGTAGTTAATTGCTGCCGCAACGAGACGCTTGTTTGATTATGTGGCTGTCGCTAGAATGTTTCAATAAATTTAGATCACTCGGACGCGTTTCCGTCCACTGTGTCCTGTTTGTTCGTTCTCACCGTGAAGCACTCGTATTGGCCGTCCAGCCATGTACCGTGTGAACAGATGCAGACCCTCGGCACTGCTACCTCGAAGATATGTGCGTGCAATCTGGAATGGCAGCAGGCTTCTTGTGGAGCCGCCGGTGAGGCTGGAGAGTACGGAGGCTCCTTTCAGCTCGCTAGGCGTGCTTTAGAAGGCTCCGAACCAGTGGACGGTGCAGGAAACAGACCTTGACGCGCCTGCATTGGTCTAATGCGCGCCCATGATTGGAACGTTGGCTGCTAGTCGACATAATGCTGTGCCCCGGCACGGCCGCCTGCAGGCAGCAAGCGTGATCTCTTTTGCTTCTGTTTCTCGTACTCAGACGCGTAAAATCTACACATCAGTAACAGCATCTCCGGACGTCTGCTGCGGTGCGGGGGCCCGGTGCGGGCTTCGGTGCAGTGGCGTAGCATCACATCAAACCTTAGGGGGGGGGGGGGGATTTGGGAAATTTGTTACGGTCGCACATTGGCGACGCCATAATGGTTATAAAGGCGAGATGTGGATATAGGGGCAGACCGTACAACCTCTTGGCAGCCCACAAATATGGTTGCACCGTTCTGCATGCAGTCGTTTGTTTCATCAACGCGAAACAGGTTCATCGAGCTGGCTGTACATTGGCGTTTCGCAAACCCTGAGTAACCTTTAAGTGGAATCGATCTAACAAACTCATGTATCCCAGGATAAGCCGTGTTGCCGTGCTTATCTTGTGCATCGTATGAGTGAATGCTAATCTGCGAAGCATTCGTGCAATCTGTCGCTGTGATTTTCCAATTGGGATCCAAAATAAAATTTTGAAATGCGTGCTTCGGGACGCCGTATAACACAGAAATAAAATATACAGAGCGAAGGCTGTTTTTGGCGCCGACTGGGGATGCTGGGACCCTCTGTCTTCACGCCTTTTTTGTGTTTAAGTAATTTTTAGTGGTTACAAATTCCCATCAGAGCTCTAGTTTTGCCAAATTTGTTGAGGAAAGCATTGAGCGCAGGATTAACCAACCTGCGGTACGGTAAACATCGTGAGGTTTGAGTGTACTAACTGAACGCGACTGAGTCTAGATCAGGGCATGAATGCCCGTTCCCTCCGTCGTTACATTACATGCCCATTCTCTCCTTATGTGGGTACCTTAGATATATTTATAAGGGTACACTTTGGTTCCTATGCCTTTATGCTTTCCTTTGGTATCTGAGGACTGAATGGAAAAAGGGACTCAAAAATTGAAAAGGAGATCAAGGATTTTGCATCGTCCAAGATTATTCAAGGAGGCCCTCATTCCGCGGGATTTTCCACATGACGTGCTATTTTGTAGGGATCCACGTCTTTACGGTAGAGTAAGATGCAAGTGGGAGAAAGGGAGGGGGCGGGGCGTAAGATCGTTTCGCTGAGCTGCGTTTTGTCCGCGGCGCGAGAAGTCGCGGCCCTTAACAAAATACGATCTTAAGCCCCTGGACCATGAGGCGATCTTATGAGCATTGGACTGCTCTGTTAGTGTCAAAACTAGTTCCAACAAAGAATGCATAGAAATAAGAGAAAGAAGCAACCGCAAGTGTTTGGGGAAGTTTCGCTGCATTTCCATCGCTTTCATTCAATGTGTGCTCGACAGTGTAGATTTTAGTGGCCTCAGTTTTCCTTCCCAAAACCTTGTTCCTTGTTTTGTTGTTCTTGAAAGCTAGTTGTTGAGCTACGGCGAATATAAATGCCTATACCAAATGATATTATGAATAAATTTCTCGTCACATCTGATATTTGGTAAGATTTTGCCAGAACATCAATAGCTGGGCCATTTCGGTCAGTACTATTTCTAACACCTCTAACAACAGTTGCTAGGATACGCATGTACGAAAAAATATATGCTATCTTCACCACAATCCCGCTAGGATTTTACAATGCATCAAGGTGTGAAAACGTATCAAAAGAAAGTTCCTGCGCGCGTCTCGTTGGAGCAATTTCCTTTTGTTTTCTAGCGGTAATTTTGGCAAAATGAATGGAACTCGCTCTGAATAAGATCGTTCCAGAATCTGGAAGCTAGTTGGTGGGCAACAGATGCGCACCTGCGACGAGTAGTTTGTTGAAGCAGCTACAAATAGCATGAAAGAAGCTCAGTTCACGTGGCGAATATAACTCCTGTAACGAGGTTGAACGCCGGACTGGGCGCCTCCGACCGCATGCAATTATTGGTCACGCGAGAAGCCCCTAACGCCGACCGCGCCTTGCGGGTGGTGTCACGGATTGGACGTGTGTGGTTAGGCTGCGACGGCGCCGTGTTTTTGCGTTTCGATCATTGACTGTCGTTCCGAGGATCCTTCTGCAGACATGTTTGGTCAGCCTAGGTCGCAGCCGATTTTGGTGCTCAGTAAGTTTTGCGATTGTAGCGGTCCTATGTGTGATGGTACTACGATTGGTAACTGGCGTTGGACCTAGCTGATGCATAATGGCTGTTACCAATTGTTTTGTATGGCAGCTACCAAGCAGCCTGTAAATTGAGGCGGGTGCCACCACCGGTGATAAAATATGGATGGTATTGACTGGTTTCATGGTGTCTCACAGGTACCAGATGCAGTGCTAGGGTTTTTTCATGTGGACTGCTGATCCTAGCTGAAGTTTGTGCCCAAACCTCAATCATTGCCTACATTTTATTGCCACAACTACATTTCCACAATTCAAGCCTACAACTGCATGTACTCTTGAACCACTGCAATCAAGCTCTAAAGTGCTGTGTACATCCTTGTCTCCCTAAGTCATCATCATAGAATGCTTATCTCCCTGGGCCCCCTGTCAGATGCAACCAAGTACAGTTTTGAAGTCAGTACTGTGAGCTTTATTTCTCAAGAAATGCCTCTCGAAAAAGGAGAAATGGATGCATTGATGTGTTGGCTGTATGCCTTTATTGAAATGAGGTGTTTGTATAGGGGTGGTTGTTGACATTAAGCCACTGTACTAAGGTTGAGGTATGAGTTAGGTTAGGCCCAGCAGCATAAACAAAATCCACTGCTCAAATTTGCTTTAATAAAGGCATGCAGCCAGAATAACAATGCACATACTTTTCCTTCTGTCAATTGTTGCCTAGGTCTGTTTTAGCTTCTTGACCATTACTTGTATCATTTGTTTGTATATTTTTTGTCATGTGCTTTGTTTACTGCACCTACAGTATAACTTGAAAAGTTACCTTGACATGAAGCAGTTAAGTCACCATATAGACTGGTTTCCAGTGTACCTGATACATCCAATACAAACTTATAAAATTACAGTGTTGTAAAACTGGTCAAGATGGTTTATATTCCTATGAAGTTGTTGAGTACATGACTCAGTTTTGCACAACATATAAGCTGTTAACACTTGACAACTAGAGTGAACAGCCTGGCTCAGGGAGGTTGGGCATGGTCAATGTGGGCTGTGGTCCCCTTCCTTGGCAGGTCAATTATCAGGACCAATTGTCATGGGTATTTGGTGGCACCTTGGGTGTGCCAGTGAGTATTTATCTCATGTTTATTTGCTAAAGTGAGAAGTCAAGAAAGCTGATATTCACAAGGCACTGTGGATAAGATTGATGTCCTTTTTTCATGGACCTATTGTAGGTGTGTATGATATTTTGTGAAGCAAGTGCAGTAAATTCTCAAAATGTAGCTGTGGCTGTATGATCAAGCAATTGATGCACTCTTGACCTGTGACCCAGTGCAGCCCAATGTAGTTGTGAATTGAAGTGACTGTAACAGTTTTGATCCAATTGATGGCTCTATTATTTTCACATGCAATGGTAGTGTTTGATTGCTATCCTTTGGTTTCATTTGGACCGTTTTCAGCATGTTATCCTGGCCTGTTTCAGCAATGATGTGATATGTATTAGAATTTCAGTATGTATTAGAATTTCAGTGGTAAAGCTGATAAATCTAAAAATTATGAAAGCTTATCGAGTATCATCTAATTCAGATGCCACTGTTTACAGGCCAGAACACAAAGAGAGACAGTGGCAAAAAAGTGCAGCTAGAGAACATATCAGCATCAAAGGTGAGCAGCTTAACCATCTTCCAACCTTGTGCCAAACTCTTGTAGCTGGTGTCCCTGGCTACATCTGTCAACTGATGGCTATTGCTTATGCACACATGCACTTGACTAAGGTATCAGTCATTGCTTCCACCATGTTTTGTTTGCAGGCCATAGCTGATGTCATCCGGACGTGTTTGGGCCCGCGGGCCATGCTGAAGATGCTGATGGACCCCATGGGTGGCATCGTCATGACCAATGATGGCAACGCCATCCTGCGCGAGATAACCGTCCAGCACCCAGCCGCCAAGTCGCTGATCGAGATCGCGCGCACGCAGGACGAGGAGGTGAGCATACAGGCCGACGCCCGGCCCTGATGCGGTCCGATGGCACCCGGTCCCTGTGCTCTCCGGTTTGTATGGCGTGTGCTATTATGCTCTCTTCCGTTGGCGCCAGTTGTGTTCAGATTGATTGTTGTGTTCCAGTTGTGTGTGTGTGATTGCAATTGACAATTGTGTTGTGTTGTGTTCAGATTGATCAGATAAAAGTTTTGCTGCTGGTCGAATGTTTGGATGTTGCATATCAGCTGTGATGTGCGTAGAACACTGTGTCTGGCATTGTCATCAGGGCCAACAGCTGCACACGTCGCCTGTGGATGCAGGACCCCGGACTCGTTTGCAAATCCCTGACCATCTAGAAGCAATTTCCCCTTGTTGAAAAACCTTACTTATCACCTTGTTCGGGATCTGATTGGAGCTGATGCGCGTCCGCGTGCCAGTGCCGTCTGCGTGGCTTCTGCCGCCCCATCTGTCCGGGCCGGGTCGGGCCGGGACCTCCAGTGCCGTCCGCGCGGCTCCCGCCGCCCCACCTGTCCGGGCCGGGCCGGGCCGAGCCGGGACCTCCAGTGCCGTCCGCGCGGCTCCCGCCGCCCCATCTGTCCGGGCCGGGCCGGGCCGGGACCTCCAGTGCCGTCCGCGCGGCTCCTGCCGCCCCATCTGTCCGGGCCGGGCCGGGCCGGGGCCTCCAGTGCCGTCCGCGCGGCTCCCGCCGCCCCACCTGTCCGGGCCGGGCCGGGCCGAGCCGGGACCCCTCTGTCCGGGCCGGGACCTCCGGGCCGGCCGACAGTCGTGCGCCGTGCCGGCAGGTGGGCGACGGCACCACATCAGTGATAGTGCTCACTGGCGAGATGCTGGCCGTGGCCGAGCCGTTCCTGGCGCAGCAGATGCACCCCACCGTCATCATCAAGGCGTACCGGCGTGCCCTCGAAGACCTCGTGCAGATCCTGGAAGACCAGCTCAGGTGTGCCTCCCCCCCGCCCTCGCGCGCCGGGCCGGGCCGACACGTCCCTGGCGGGCTCTGTTGGTGGATATGACCCCGTGCGTGCTGCGCTGTGAGAAATTCGTGAGGAAATTTTGAGGAATTTATTGCCATCAATTGATCTTACTGAGCATAAGTGTCTCCTAGCTTGCGGTACCCGGGTGCACGGCAGTGCGTTGCTCTCCTGGCTTGCACTGATCGGGCAGTGATCGCCTCACGTAGCCCCTCGTATCCTCCCCCTCCCCGTCCGCTGTCAGATTGAACCCCGTTTGTCCCCTGTCCCGTGGCCTGTCGTGCACGCCGCCAGCCTGCCGTACCCCGTTGGCCTACGCGCCCCGCCGTGATGCCGCCCCTCTGCCGTTCAGCGTGCCCGTCGACACGAACGACCGGGAAGCGGTGCTCTCGATCGTCAACGCCTGCCTGGGCACCAAGTTCTTGGGCAAGTGGTCGGAGCTGGCGTGTAACATGGCGCTCGATGCCGTGCGCACCGTGCAGCTGCAGGAGGACGGCCGTGACGAGATCGACATCAAACGCTACGCCAAGGTCGAAAAGGTACCGCACCTGACCTGATCGCCGTGGTTTGGTTGGAGAGAGACACTGGCGTGTTTGGAGCTGCTTTCGTGATGGTCTTGAGTTTTTATTTGAAGAATTGTTATTGTTTTCCGGTGGTGTTTAGGCGAGTGCGTTCATGCGAGCCTCGTGCAATGGCTTGCAAAGAACAAAAGATCCCCACATGAGTGGTGTAGCTACAGCTGGTCGACTTTCAATGCTTGCTGTGATGGATGCGTGGGCGTTGCGGGGTTGAGGCGTCAGAGTGCTGAATGCCGGTGATCATAGGCCTGCCGCGCCCGTCGACCGACAGCTGGAGAGTAATGTGAAGGGCAGTTAACTTGGTCGCGTTGCGTGCGCAACAGCACGCACCGTACAGTAACCAGGCAGGACAGTGTGACGCGTGCGCGCGTGTCAGTCGTGACATTGCCTGCCTCCCCCTTGGTACGGCGCTGCTGTGCCGCCTCGGCCAGGTGGAGCGGGCGGTACGTCCGTTCGGCGAGAGTCTGCCGTGCTCGGGGTGACCGGGCGCCGGCCGTGTGTCCGCCAGATCCCGGGCGGCACCATCGAGGAGTCGCGCGTGCTGCGAGGCGTGCTGGTCAACAAGGATGTGACGCACCCCAAGATGCGCCGGCGCATCGAGAACCCGCGCATCCTGCTGCTCGACTGTACACTCGAGTACAAGAAGGGGGAGAGCCAGGTGAGCAGTGACGGGGGAGAGCGTGCTGCGCGCTATTCCGTCGCGTTCGGGCGCTTAAAAACAAACTGCATGTGTAAGCTACAGTATGCATACAGCGCATGCGCCTGTGCACAGCAGTGTTGGAAATTCCAAACATTTTCCTGGTTGGTGGCGGAGTACAAAGTTTCTGTAGTGGAGTACAACATTCTCCAAATGCTGCGGGCCATTACTTTTTTAGTTAGGTTTTCTTGAAATTGCTCGTGAAATTTCACGCCCCACTTCTGGGCCTTTAAAGTGCGAACCCGGCCCCGGATGGCCCGGCTTCCGGCGGTCGACCTCGGGGTATGGCGCGCCGCGCCCCGGGCCTGGTACAAACTGCGGGTCGGCTAGTCTGGCAGGCACCTGGACCCGAAAATAAGGCATATGTTGAGGAATAAATGTTACGGTTAAACGGAGAGTGCTGTATTGCGGTGTTTAGTAAGGTTTCATTTGAAATGTGTTTTGATCTGATGTTCAACTCGATTTCAGACGAACATCGAGATGATGAAGGAGGAGGACTTTTCCAAGATCCTGGAGCTGGAGGAGCAGTACATTCAGAAGCTCTGCAACGAGATTATCCGGATGAAGCCGGACGTGGTGTTCACGGAGAAGGGCATCTCCGACCTCGCTCAGCATTATCTTGTGAAGGTAATGGGATTGTCACAGCGCCTGTGACCGACGCTAAAAATCGCGACGGAGCCCGCGAACCACTTCCATGGTCTTCGCAGGGCATAAGAGCGCACAGAACAGATGCTATAGGCATAGTTTGCACATGGACTGTTGGAATGGAATGTCAAGGATCGAAGAAGGTGTAAGTCGTGATTGTGATATATGTTTTGCGATGTGTGTACGGCTCAAACTTCTCCTGCGTGCGTTGTAGTCACGAGAGTGTCGGTGCTTCAGTACATGTCTTTACATCATATTCTGCGGACCAGTGATGGCGCATATGATTCGAAAATAACGTCTGAAAAGCTCCGGACGTGTGCATGTGTAGGTCGATGCCTGCCCTATCGGACTGCCTATACTCACTCCCTCGTCCATGTTACCGTCGGCCGCCCCTCTGACGGCTCGTGCCCCCGTCCCGTGCGCGCCGCCGGCCGCCTCTCCTCCGCCTCCCGCGCTTAGCTGACGGCCGCCCCGTTCGCCGCCGCCCTCAGGCCGGCATCACTGCCATCCGGCGGGTGCGCAAGTCGGACAACAACCGGATCGGCCGCGCCTGCGGGGCCACCGTGGTGAACCGCACGGACGAGCTGCGCGAGGACGACATCGGCACCGGCGCGGGCCTCTTCGAGATCAAGAAGGTGCGACGATCGGCGGCGTCTGAGTCGGCACCGCTTGTCGGACGCTGCAGGCGTTGTACGAGTGGTACTGTCGTGTCTGTGTCGGGCGGCGAGTGGTGCTAGTCAGTTTCCTGGTTGCGTTGATAACCAATGCGACTAGCGTCGTTGATTTTGGGAATCCCTTGTCGCCAGCGCGTGTGGCGCGCACACCTAGTGCCGCCGCCTCCCACGCAGCCACCGTTTCTCTGTGGGCCTGACTTCCTCCCCTGCTCTCGGCAGATCGGTGACGAGTACTACACGTTCGTGACCGAGTGCAAAGATCCGAAGGCCTGCACCATCATGCTGCGTGGCGCCAGCAAGGACATCCTGAACGAAGTGGAGCGCAACCTGCAAGACGCGATGCACGTGGCGCGCAACATCATCGCCAAGCCGCGCCTGGTGCCGGGCGGTGGCGCCACTGAGATGGCGGCGGCCGTGCAGCTGGCGCGCCGCGCCACCGCCATCACGGGCGTGCAGCAGTGGCCGTACCGGGCGCTGGCGCAGGCGCTGGAGGTGATCCCGCGCACGCTGGCGCAGAACTGCGGCGCCAGCACCATCCGCACGCTCACGGCGCTGCGCGCCAAGCATGCCGCCGGTGAGAGAGGGGGAGAGCGGCGCCGGCCGAGTCGGTGACGAGTCTCGGCCTAACGACGTCGGATCTCGGTTTTGGGGTCGGTTCGGCGAAAGAGACTAAGCGCGACGTCGGATGGGTGCCGTTAGATGATTGTACACGTCGTGTTATCTGCCCGGTTTTGGCCGTGCAGGTGGTGGTATTAATGTAGTATTCTGCTACTTTTTAGATATTGGTGCGGTGTAAGATATTTGACTTGATTCAAAAAACTTGTAAGCATTTATATTTATTTTCTCATTTGTCTTAATTGCTTTTCGTCTCTGGCTGACTTTTATCAGCTTGTTTCGATTTGTGTTGGGTTGTAATGTTGTTGCAGTGATTTTCACCACAATTTATTGAATGTGGTGCTGTAGTGCTCCAACGCCCCACGGGCAGCCTTAACGTTAATCGGCTTTTCCCATTTGTCAGAGGGCAACTCCACCTGGGGAGTAAATGGCGAGACGGGGGAGTTGGTCGACATGAAGGAGCTCAAGGTCTGGGAACCCCTGGCCGTCAAACTGCAGACGGTCAAAACGGCAGTTGAGGTGAGTGCTTCGTCATGTTGATCCTGTTAAACTTGGATCTGTATTTCTCCTAAACGTGTTACTTACAGGAATTGCGCCCATCTTTTTTGTAACCTTAACGTGTTGTAATATTGGCATGACCAGCTCAAGTCAGCCTGCGAAATGAAGATCGGGATCGCCACAAGAGATCACCGCTATTGCTGACTGTGTTCTTCAATGTGTGCACAGACGGCGATCCTCCTGCTTCGCATCGACGACATTGTCTCTGGGCTGAAGAAAAAGGGTGACGCTGGGGGAGCGCCGCCCCCGGACGCCGCCGGCCCCCAGGAGTGACGTCACCGACTCCTAGCCGTGCCCCGCCACTGACCTGACGTCACAACGGAGGCCGACGCCGCGCCTGCTTGCGTTTCAACTGTAATTGCAATTTCATTAATGTTTCGCCCAATAAACCACAGTAACACCACATGCGCTCTGTTGGATGCCGCGTGGATGATGACCTGATTTGTGTTCTCAGTCAATGGTTTAACCTGCTCGGTGTTCAGTACAGAACACTTTGGCGATGCCCGTTGGATGATACTGGCTGCTAGCTATGGCCGGGGAACCATCAAAACGTCCAAGATTGTAGGGCTCAGTGGTCCTATCCTCCAAAACAACATCCAGCGCCCATGATATCAAAAATGCATCCAATCCGGCCCATTAGAGGAGGTCATATCACCTGAGCTCGCAATGTGCAAAATCACAGTATCCAATGTTCATAACATCCAGGGACTACGACGTCCAGTTCATAAGCTTTGACACTGTTCTCCAACCTTCCAACTCTATGAATGCTAGAGGTTATGAACTCTGGATGTTGCGATCTTGGCTGCTGCGAGCATGGATGTTGTGATTTTCCCCTGACTTGGGGTATGGGGGATTATTGGATGTTTGAACGCTGGATGCAGCGATTTTGGACGTTTTGACCATTGGACGTCATGAACTTCGGACGTTTCAGTACGCATCTAGTTGATTGCTGGCTTGTGCTGACACTTTTATGGCATGTATCGAAGATGAAGTACCGTTCACAGCACCTCTGTTGTAACACCCTTTTGTGGGTCGTCGGAAAAGCGGCTATGACATCACCATACAACACATTGCTGTTCCGAGGCCTGCAAAGCGAGGCTGCCGTGCATTGTTCTTACTACACGCTCGGGTGGGGTCGAATTAGCCCCCAAAGGTTTTTTCGGGAATGGTTTCCGAACGTTGCGGCATAGCCGCGCCATATGTTGCATAGCGGTAGACAACTGAATCGTTTGCATCGTTTGGTGCCCAAAAATTTATATGTATCTTGTAAGGTCGCTGACCTTTGGCAAGCCAGTCAGGCTGTGAATTCAGCGAAGTAAATTTGTAGGGAATCGTTCAATCTGATGCAACAACGAAGTGTTAGACAAGCCATACATCTCTGGGATGCTGTATTCGGCAACATAACAATTGCATACACAAATTGCATTGCCCTAGGGTCAGATAAAAAGTCAGACCAGGGTCAAAGTCAACCTGTGCCGTGTCACGATATACAATGCACACAGCAAAGAACGAAGTTTTGCTACAGCAGATGCTGAATCGGTTTCCGTGCCGCAAATAGTTCGCTGCTTGTACTCCGAGCTACCATTCCATTCCTGTAAGGAAGGCTAAACGGACCCATTCTGTGTCGGGCCCTTACCAAAACAGCACGGAAGAGCCTTTACCGTGTCGCGCTATCACACGGCTCTCGGCACCCTGTGATTAAGTAGGCGCTGTCCAGCTAGCGACCAAATGGTCCTCTTCGGGTAGCCCAAGGCGATGTGACCAGCCATATACGAACGCTTGCTCTGGAAGACAACCCTCCACCACGCGTTTCACCATGTCACGAATGTGGTCGGCATAACGCAGCTGGCCTCACCTCTACCAAAAGTTAGGCGCGGGATACCTTTGTGCTCGCATATTTTGTTTAAACAGTGTTTCAAGCTTTCGCAGCATTTGCTACACAAACATTTTTGGGGGCATAAATGTGTTGCAGACGTCACAGAGGAAGCACGCTAGAAAACGCACAGCAAATGATGCGTATTACTTTCATAGTGATGAGCATCAGGGGCGGATCCAGGATTTCGTTAAACGGGGGGGGGGGGGGGGCTACACAACATTGTGGGCCTCCGAGAGTTCGGGTTCACCTAAGAAAATATCATTGCCTTCCAGGCATTACATTTGAAGACAAATGCCAATTGAATGAAGAAATTCAATTTACCTAATGTCAGCTATGAAGGCCAGACCAAGGTCAAAATTAACCTGCTTTATTACTCTAGGGTTTGCTGTATGGGGTAGTTTCTGGTGCTCATTTCGAATTTATTGATCACAGGAACCGCATTATACACCCTCCATGGACTTCTTAAAGGTCATAATAGGTCACTGACGTAGAATGACCCAGGTCAGCATTTTGTTTTTAGGAATATACTGCATAGCGCAATCCATGTCGTTTATCCAATTTCAAAACTCAAAGTGGTCTTGTATGATCCTGGTTGCCATGACCTTCAAAAGGTCAGACGAGGCCACTGACCTTAGATGAGCATGTGACCTTTTGCTTAGAAACAGCTATCTAGGTGCCGGGGCCCTTTGAGACTAACCTTGAGTTTGACCTTGTTTGACGTTATTTGACCCGAAGGTCATGACCTAGGAACGTCAAACTTTGACTGAAGTGAGCTCACCTACAGATCAACACACGCTACGAATTTGGCGTCTCTAGCTCTCTTAGTTCCTCAGATCTCAGGGGGTCAAATTGCCCCCCCCCCCCCACACCCGAGCCAAGGGTATCCAACTGGCCACCCGGGCGCGTGTTCAGAACGTGATCCACCACCATAATAAGTCTCACACACTCAACAGCCAATGGAAATGGTGCAGGCGATGTCGACGGCGCGTAAAATAAAGTTCTACAGTTACGCGTAAAAATTCATTGGCGCATATCCGACCGCTGCGCTAAGGCGAAGGCGCCAATGCCAATAGGGACGGAACCTGAGCGATCATGGGTGCCGCAGGAGGCCAACAAAGTGGCTTCCGTCAACAAGTATAGGGTACTCAGAGCAAGCAAAACGACTCAAGACTAACGTGGTGGGCCCTAAATGATCGGTAGCGCGCTGACAGGCCGACAAATAGGACCCGGCCAGAGCACATTACGCTGTGAGCAGAGGGAATTCTCCAAGACTACGAATTGATACCCTGTGCGATGAAGAGAGCACGGGCAGGTTAACAGAAAGAGCCTCGATATGAGTGAAAAGTCTTCCGCAAATGAGATCAAAGGTTAAGAGCCCTTGATCAAATTAGAGGGTCCCTGAGCATCGAGTGTCTCGGTGCCTTACCTTACAAAAACTGCAGCAACATCACAAGGCCCTCTATGCAAATGGAAAGAACCCGAGACTAACATGAAGGACCTCTGAGCAACGGCGCGTACCCTGGCATTTGGAGCCCCGGAAAAGGCGCGTAGATCCTTTCGTGGGAATGGGTAGAATCCGTGGGAGGAAACCTGCATCGATCAAGAGTGTCCAGACGCGTAAGCAGATAGCGTCCCAACAGCAGCGTTAGGCCCTACAAGAAAATGCGAAGAGATCAAGGGCAACGTGGAAAGCGATCAGATTGACCCAGCAAGTGGACATATAGGGCCAGGGCACCCAACAGCGTAAGACCTCTGGACAGCGTAATTAGCCCCAAAATTTATCCACACAACACCCTCTCAATCAGCGAAGAATTAACTTCATCTGGTTATGAATTCTTAACTTTTATTGGCGATTGGTCTTGGTCGTCTGTAGGCCCAAAAGTGTCCAATCTTGTCGTGCTTTTGGTGTAAGAAAACTGCATCCGCTCACCGGCTTATGGGCCCCTTCGGAGCCTTTAGATCCCCTCGGCATGGCCCAGAGAGGCATGGTTCCGTGCCTCCCCAACCCACTTCTGCAACCGCCACCGGCCCGAACAGCTTAATAGATGGAGCCCGCCAAGAACGTAGAGCCATCCATTCAACTAAGAAATGCTCACAGCACGAGGTGTAGGGCTCCGGACGATCGAGTGTGCCAAGAAGGTGAACAGATGGGCTCCCAACAAGAACATAGGGCCCACCATTCAAATAGGAAGTACTCAAGACCCAATGTAACGGGCCCTCGAATGATCGAGTGTACCAGAGCAGGTTAACATATAAGGTCCCCGCCAAGAGCGTAGGGCCCTTTATTTAAATAAAAAGCCCCCACGATCATTCGGAGGCCCTCCTCATTGGAGGACGGCCCCCGAATGATCGAGTGTGCCCGAGCAGGTTAACAGATCGGGCTCCCAACAAGAGCGTAGGACTCTCCATTCAAATCGGAAGCACTCAAGACGGCGTGTAAATGGCTCCCGAACGATGGAATATGCTCGAGCAGCTTATCAGAAAGGGCCCCGGCAAGAGCATAAGGCACTCCATTGAAATAAGAGGTACCCAGAACCCAGTATGAAGGGCCCCGAAGGATGGAGTGTACCCGAGCAGGTTATCAAATGACCCCGATAGGAACGCGGGGCCCTAAACTCAAACGCCAGGACCCAAGATGCAGCTCCCCCGCCCCTCCCCTGAACAGTCTAGTGTGACCGAGGAGGCGAACAGAGAGGGGCTCCGACAAGTGCGTAGGGCCCCCATCCAAATAAGACGTGCCCAAGACCCAATGAAAAGAACCCCGAACGTTCTAATCTGCCCGATCAGGTTATCACATAGGCCCCTCACAGGGGCGTAGCCCCCCCCCCTCCCATTCAGATAAGAAGCACCCAAGACCCAGTGCGGAGGGTCCCCGAACGACGGAGTGTGCCGAAGCAGTCCACCAGATGGGCCCCCGACAGGAGCGTGGGGCCCTAAGCAGGTGACAGAGAATTGGAGGCACCCTAGACCAATGTAGAGGGCCCCTGGGTGTATCGGGAGTGTGTCGGTAGGTTAACCGAGACCCACGTAAAGGGCACCTAGCAGCCGAGAGTACCCCGACGGGTTAATATATGGGGTCCCGGCTATAGCCCACAGAGCCTTTCTGGCGAATGGAAAGAATCCATGGAAGGGCCATTGATTGACAAGAGTGTCCCGGCACGTTAGCAGAAAGGGCCCAGCAACAGTGCGGGGCCCTCCGAGCAAATGCAAAGAAATCAAAGCCAATATGGAAGGCTTCTTAGCGATCTGGATGAGCATGCAAGCGGGCGTATAGGTCCCCAGAGATAGCATAGAGCCATTAGGCAGTGAAATGAGGCTTAGAATTCTCAATTCACAACTTTTTCAACCATTGACCTTTTTACTTTTCGTGGGCCCTTCACTTTCGCTTGCAACTGCTCTTGGTTGCCTGGAAATCCAGAAATATCTAAGTCTGTCGCGTTTTGTGTTAAGAAGGACTGCACCTGCTCGGCCGGCTATGGGCCCCGTTGGAGCCAATGGATCCGTTCAGGGCCCAAGGGGGGAGCATGGC